CAGGTGGATCTCTGTGAGTTCAAGGGCAGCCTGGTCTATAGAGTGAGATCCAGGACAGGCACCAAAACTACAGAGAAACCCTGTTTCAACGCCCCCTCCCCTAAAAAAAGGATGTGTCAGTATGAATTTGCCAGTCCTATCAAATGTACCACTCTAGTGGAGGAAGCTGGTAGTGAGGATGACTATGAAACTAAAATTAACCTAAGAAAAGAAAGCAAAAGTCAGGTAGTGTGGCACAGACCTGAAATTGTAGCACTTGGGAAGTGGAGACAGGAAGATCAAGAATGGAAGGCCATCCTCAGCAACATAGGAAGTTCGGGGCCAGCCTGGGCACATGCATTGAATGTGGGTTTGTGTCAGAGACAGAGAGACAGAAAGAGACAGGAAAAAAGGAAAAATGGATGAACCTCAAACCTAAACTTTGTACCTTATAAAAGTTAACTCATGGATCATGGACTTAAATATAAAACATTAAACTTTAAATATTTTAAGAAAAAAGAAAATCTCCAGGATGTGGAGCTAGGCAGACTTAACAGTAGAACTATCCAATAAGAAAAAATGAATACACTCTATCTCACTAAAATTACAATATTTTGCTTTATGCAAGACCTTATTAAGAGGATGGAAAGATAAGTTACAGAACATGAAGGCATCTACAAATTGCAGTTTGACTTATAGACTATGAAAAGAACTCCCAAAATCCAACACTAAAATAATAATAACATTTATAAAATGAACAAAAGATATTTTGCCAAAGAGATTACTTGTCCCTTATCCACTCCTCAATCCTGGAGGCTGCAAGGTGGGTAGAAACAGTGGGTAGCATTGAACCTGCGCTGATTCTGCTCATTGCCGTACAAACAGACCTGTGAGGAAGTTTGCTTGCAAAGTGGTCAAATAAGAGAGTAACAATAACTAATTTTTAAAAAACCCATTAAAATAATATACTATAGTAAATGTTAGGACTAGTTTCTTTTTCTCCTTCAAACATCTTTTTTAAAATGTGTGCATGTGTGCGTGTGCCTGTGCCTGTGCCTGTGTCTGTGAATGTGGGTGCAGATGTCCAAAGAGACCAGAAGAGGGCACTGGGTTACCCCGGAGATGGAATTACAAGGCGTTAGTAAGCCACCTGACACCATTCTGGGAACTAAACCCTTGTCCTCTATTAGAGCAGCAAGTGCTCTTAGCCTCTCTCCAGGCTTCGAGCATCTTATTGTACCATGTGTACTGCTGTGGATATCGCTCTGTATAAATAAAATGCTGATTGGCCAGTAGCCAGGCAGGAAGTACAGGCAGGACAAGCAGAGAAGAGAATTCTGGGAACAGGAAGGCTGAGTCAGGAGATGCTGCCAGCCACTGCCATGAGTACCAACATGTAAGATACTGGTAAGCCATGAGCCATGTGGCAAGGTATAGATTTATAGAAATGGGTTAATTTAAGATAGAAGAACTAGATAACAAGAAGCTTGCCACGGCCATATAGTTTGTAATCAATATAAGTCTCTGTGTGTTTACTTGGTTGGTCTGAGCGGCTGTGGGACTGGCGGGTGAGAGAGATTTGTCCTGACCGTGGGCCAGGCAGGACCGGAGAAAACTCCAGCTACAGTGTACCTTTCCGTATGACGGTGTAAGATGACTGTGTCTATGGGATCACTGGAGAGCAGTGCATGGTAGGCACTGTGATGTGGATTTGGGCTGCTGTGAAAGGGTAGCTTGAAGACGAGTACTACAGTATGGTTGGTCTGGAACCTGAGACTGCCACTATGACTAATGGAGAGTGGCCTGTGCAGCATGCATGGCTTCTTCAGTGACTGATTCTCATCCACACAGGGCAGAGCAAGGCAGTCTAAGAGAGTTCTATTGACGCTCCTCAGATGCAGGGAAAGTGATCTTTTATAGTGTGCTGTGGGAAGGTAAGAAGGCATAGTGACTGGGAAACATGGTGGCTGGGAAACATGGTCACTGGGAAACATGGTGACTGGGAAACACGGTGACTGGGAAACATGGTGACTGGGAAACATAGTTACTGGTGACCATGGTGATTGGGAAACATGGTGACTGGGAAACATAGTTACTGGTGACCATGGTGACTGGGAAACATGGTGACTGGGAAACATAGTTACTGGTGACCATGGTGACTGGGAAACATGGTGACTGGGAAACATACTCTCTGGGAAACATACTCACTGGTGACCATGGTCACTGGGAAACATAGTGACTGGGGAACATGGTCACTGGGAAACATGGTGACTGGGAAACATACTCACTGGTGACCATGGTGACTGGAAAACATGGTGACTGGGAAACATGGTCACTGGAAAACATGGTGACTGGAAAACATGGTGACTGGGAAACATGGTGACTGAGAAACATGGTGACTGAGAAACATGGTGACTGAGAAACATGGTGACTGGGGAACATGGTGACTGGGGAACATGGTCACTGGGAAACATGGTCACTGGGAAACATGGTCACTGGGAAACATGGTCACTGGGGAACATGGTGCCTGGGGAACATGGTGCCTGGGGAACATGGTGCCTGGGGAACATGGTGCCTGGGGAACAGTTTGACAATGAAACTAAACATGCAATCATTATAGGAGCCAAAAATTGAACACTTGGATGCTTATCTCAGAGAAATGAATATGAATACACATGCACATATGCACACACTCATGTGTGCCTGTACATAAATGCACATGACAACTTCATTTGTAATAGCTAAAACTAGAAACAAAACAGATATGCTTCGATGTGGGGATAACCTGAAAACTATATTGCACCTCCACAGCATGGAATACAACTTCATAGTGACAGAACAGAATGATACACAACAGCTTGGGTTTATTGCAAGAGCATTCTGCCCACTGGAGGAAAAAAAAAAAACCAGTTCTAAAAGATAACACGCTGTCTGATCCTGTCTTAGAAAAATCTAGGATTTCTATTGTGAAAAGATACCATGACCTTGGCAACTCTTATAAAGGAAAACATTTCACTGAGGTGGCAGCTTACAGTTTCAGAGGTTTAGTCCATCATGGTGGGGAGCCTGGCAGTGTACAGGCAGACATGGTGCTGGAGAAGGAGCTGCTACATGTTGACTTGAAGGCAACAGGAAGTGGTATCCAACACTGGGCAGCATCTTGAACATAGGAAACCTCAAAGCCCGGCCCCATAATGATACACTTCCTCCAACAAGACCACACCTACTCCAAACAAGCCACACCTCCTAGTAGTACCATTCCCTATGAGCTTATGGAGACCAATTACACTTTCAAACAACCACAGACCCTATTTCTATAATATTCTTGAAATGCTAAAACTGTAATACTGTCAGCTGCCAGAGTTACGGGTGGTAGACAGGAGAGAAGTAGTGTGGCTATTAAGGGCAGCAAGAAGAATCTGGCCATGGAAAAGATTTGACCTTGGCCATCTCCATGTCTAGACTGTGAAACTGTAGAATAATTTTGCAAGATGTCACCCTTGAAGCTCTCTCTTTGTAATTTTTTAAAAACTATACATAAACTTACCATCATCTTAAATTAGAAAGCTAAAAAGAAAGTTAAGAACAAGATGGCTCAGTGAGCAAGGGTACCTGCTGATAAGTTTTATGACCTGAGTTTGGTCTCCAGGCCCCACCCGGTAAGAGAGAACTGACTCCCATAAGTTATTTCTGCACATATGTTGTGGCATGTACGTGCCTCCACACAGACACAGATACAGACACTAAATAAATAAAACTGCATACAAAAAAAATTAAAGACTTCGTAGAAAACTATAGGCTTCTGACTTCTTTTGAACAAATAAAATCCTGCTGCACTGGGCCCACTTCGGCCCATGACCACAATCAGCTGGAGTCCGTGGCTTCCTCTCGTGGGCCAGACCCTCCTGTTCACCACAGTTCCTACCTCTCGCTACTGTCTCATCCCCACAGTGACTGCTTCTTGCCTGTCTCCTAAAATCCCTAGAGTTTGCCACAGCTTTTCTTTTCACACTGATATTTCCCTGCCTGAGAGAAGATTATTCGGAAGAAGGAAGTGAGAACACAGTTGGCAATAGACTGCCTTGTGTTTATTTTTAAACTGTGTGTGTGTGTGTGTGTGTGTGTGCATGCGTGCGTGCGTGCGTGCATGTGTGTAGGGTGCTCAATCCTGAATGTCATTCCTTAGGCACCACCCACTTTGTTCTTTAAGACAGGGTCTCTCACTGAAACAGAAACTTTCCCATTCTACCAGGCTGGTTGGCCATTGAGCTCCAGGGAATCCTCCTGTCTCCACCTCCCCAGTGCTGGGATTAAATGTGCAAGCCACTGAACCTGGCTTTATTTGTAGGTTCTGTAGGATTGAATTCAGGTCCACATACTTGGGTAGCACACACTTTATCAACGAAAATATTCCCCTGCCCCAGGCTGCTTTTTAAATCCAATTTCTTCAATCAAAGAGGCCCATACCATTAATCCAAAATGTTCACACTATGTGAGTCAATGGGAAAGTGTCTCTGACTTTGTTCACCAAGGCATTAAGCTAATACCCTCAAACTTAAAATGGATAATGGCAAAATTTGGATATTATTATCCAAGGCTTACACAATAAAACTGTTAAAAGTCCATTCTTCAACTGTGAAAACCTTTTCTGACTCGAAAACAATTATTTGCATGAAGTCAGTTCTGCATTCATACATTTGCAAATCATTTTAATCTCTGCTGAGTCCATGGAAGTGGCTGAGTAGATACAATCTGGAGAAAATGTGCTCAGTTCTCATGACATCGATTTTTAAAAGCACGGGATAAAAAGTAGTGTTCAGGACTTGTAAAATGAGACTGGCTGTAGCACTAAAGGAATTCCGAAAATGTAATGACGCAATGGCCCCACAGGTACAAATACACCACATGGATCCAGGAGGAGGCTGTGTCTGCCCTTGCCTCTGGACACAGATGTTGGGGGGGGGGGGCAAGTATAGTCAAGAGAGCTGTGCAGCAGGAGGCAGAGAAGCCTCCTGACCCACCTGGTGGTCCGAGGTGCTGTTCTCGTTGCCCATGGTGACTCAGGGTGCCCAGCGTCCCTCAGAATGTTGTCAGAGTGACTGGAAAAAATGAAAGGGCATAAACATCTGGAAAATGGAAGGAGAGCTGAGGTTTTTTCTCTTCTGCTCATCTCCCCAAACTCAGAGCCAGACGATGGTAAATGTTTATCTCTTCAGCCACATCATGGAAAATCACTTTGGGTTTTCTTTTGCAACATACCACCCAGACTTCTTTCCCAACTCGGGCTGCTGTTCTCACTCCCCTGCCCAGGGTTGGCAGCAACTTCTGAGAGGCAAGTTTGTTCCTGAGTCAGAGTTAACGCCAGGGTGCACACATATGCACATGCACAAATGAGTGACAAAAGGCTCCCCCCAATGCCAATAAGCCCGGGGAGCACCGCTCCCAGGAGAATTTTCTGTTTCCAATTGTACTCAGTTTGGAAACTCAGTGCGGCTGTTTTCGAGCTGTTGGTGACAGAACAGCCTGCTGTCAGACATGAGGAGGCGTGAAATCTACTTCTCTCCAACAACATGATTTTTGTCGTTCATCCCTCTGAACTTGTCTCATCGACTCAGCTCCACTTCTGTGTGTGTTTTTATGAAAGCAGAGCGGGCTCCTTGCTGGGGAAAATAGGAATCGGGGGAGGGGGGGGGCGGGCGGGCAGGCTAGGAATAAATACTCATAAAACTGCTGAGACAAATAGAACCGTGCTGTGGGGCATTCGGTGACAGTGTTAACAATCCTCGTAACTAAAAAGTGCCCTACACAGGCATCAGAGGCCCCACTCCTTGCCTGACGTCACTCACTAGAATTCAGGGACCAAGCTGGCACCTTCATGGAGAAATTAAGCCATGGAAACTTTGAAGAAGAAAAAAATCAGACACTTTTTAAAGCTGGTGCCTCAGAGAACACCAGTCTCAAGCAGTGGGGAGGATCAGAGTTCAAGCTCCAGAACCCAAGTAGGAAGCCAGATGGGGCTGCGCACATCTGTATTCCCAGCATTCCTACAGCAAGATGGGACACAGAGGCAGGAGAATGTCAGGGAGCTTGCTGACCAGCTAGCCTGGAGTACGTAGTCCAGAAACAAGAGGCATCGTGTTAGTCTTGATCAGTAGGTGGCGAGAAGGATTCCTCTGACCTCTGTAAGTGAGCTATAGTAGGAGTATGATTTCTGCATGGATGCATACGCGCACAGGCGCACACAAAATTAAAACGAATTCATTTTAAAAGCAAAATGAAAAACTAACCTATTGGTTTGCTCAGTCATTCAACCAACACTGATGGAGTAACCAGAACATGCTATGCATACTGGACAATCACTGATCAAAACAATGTAAGTGTTATAAGCAGGCCCAATTAAAATGCAGTGGGGGGCTGTGGCTCAGTGAGAGAGCCCTTGCCTAGAATACACAAGGCCTTGGTTCAATCCCCAGTACTGATAAAATAAAATACTTCAAAACTGATGAAATGGCAATAATGTCACCCTTGTGCACAAGTCTCTTGTTCCTAACTTTTAAATTAAAAGAATATGGCTCATCAATAATTTCAGTTTGCTTTGAATATTCACTCTACATATGTATCATACTAAGTTGTAGAATGAAAAAAAGTCATTTATTTGAAATTGATCTGTATTATTTATTTTTATTTTGTTCATTTTGGAGACTCCTCATAAGCATATAATGTTGCTAGAACCATCATTCCTAAATCAGTTGTTAAATTCCTTGTATGTACCAGGCTAAAACACATGACGTTAAATTTCATATGATCCATTGTAATATTAATTTCTTTTTCCTTTTTAGCTTTTTTGAGAGGGGTTTCTCTACATCTCCCTAGCTACCCTGGAACTCACTATGTAGATCACGCTGGCCTTGAACTTGCAGAGATCTGCTTGTCTCTGGAATTAAAGGTATGTACCACCATGCCCAGGTGTAATATTCACTTTTGATACTCATTCACTAAATAAATTTAATAATTTTATTAAAAACCATAAAAGCTAACTTTTTTCCAAGTGTCCTCAAATTCACCGTGTTGCTAAGGATGCCCCGATCCTCCTGCCTCCACCTTCCAAGTGCTGAACTGACTTTATGAACAGACAAAAACAAGTGGCAAAACTCCTTCTGACACAGCATGACCGAGACAGCAAAGAGAGGGCTGCAGAGTCCCATGGGAACCCTCGTCTGGGGACTCCAGCGCGGCATCCTTCAGCCGCCCCAGGCCTGAAAGGCAGGTGCACTTACCTTCGGAGATAGTCTGCACTTCGGAGCTTGCAGCCCACGGAAAGTTTGCTTTCCAGCAACTGGACTTTCTCCTTACCCATTCAAACGCCAGGGAGGTCGAAGCCGAGCCCTGCTCCAGTTGGACAAACAACTGTTCCCCACCCTGGTGCTGTCACAAACCAGCTGGCTTCATACCTGGGCTGTGGCTGAGTTTATCCAAGCCTTCCTGCCTGGGAGTCTGCACCTCCCAGCTGGCCCCTCCCAGGGCCTTTATGCGGAGCATTTTCCCTGCTGAGGTTCCTTTCAGAACAGGCTTAGTCTAACCAAAGCTGCCCCTGCCCTCTGATTGGTCACACCAAGCATTGCTTGCTTTTGTGCACGAGATCAGGGAACAGATCTCTTTCTAGAAAGAAGTCACATGTTCACAGAGCTTCTTGTGTGCACCTGGGGAAATTCCACTGCAGATACTATGGGAAGACAAAAGAAAACTCGTGGAAACCAGATGACGTGGCAGTCTGGCACTGTTGGTGTGTGCAGAATGAACTTATCCAGGCGTGGCTTGAGTTTCAACCAGTGAAGTCATAAAAAGCACTGCATGACTGGATATGCTGATAGGCAGGCTGCCTGCCCTCTGGGGTGAGGGAGACCCGCAGACCTGACAGAGGAGCCACAGGCACCCAGACACCCTGCCCACTCTCTTCTACTCCCACGATTCCTTCACTACTTACTCAACCTCAGCAAAACAAAGTGCCTGCAGAAGGCTCTGACCCTGTGACCAGACAGAACCACTCAGGGAAACCAATCAGTGTTTTGTCCAAGGGTCCCTGGATACCAGGGAGGCTACCGCACACTCCCAGGAGGTGTTTAAGGCCCTCCAGGGGGAAAGCTGGAGGCAAAGGAGCTCACTACCCCGCTTTGCATTTGAATAGAGCAGAACTGTGTATGTGTAGGCACAGACCAGGTAACCAGTTTTCTAGCCGTACAATGAAATAGTATTCAGCCATAAAAAGAAAGGATTGGTTCATGATACAACTCTGATAAACGTCAAAAGCGTTGAGCCGTGAGAGAAGACAGACACAATAGGCCACACATTGTGTTACTCCACTTAAATGGACAGAACTGACAAATCCATAGGGACAGAAAGCAGAGCTGTGGTTCCCAGGAGCGAAGGAAAGAATATAACAGCTGAATGGGTGTGGGTTTTATTTTGGTGTGATAGAAGTGTTCTAGAAGTTGCCGGGCATGGTAGCAGACACCTTTAATTTCAGCACTTGGGAGGCAAAGGCAGGCAGATCTCTGTGAGTTCGAGGCCAGCCTGGTCTACAAAGCAGGTTCCAGGACAGCTAGGACTGTTACAAAGAAAAACAGTCTTGGGGGCGCGGGGAGAGGTAACAGCTCCACCAGTGACATCCAGGAACAGAATATGCACAAGAATACCACCACTAAATCAGTCATCTAAAATTAAATACTTAGGTCAAGTACTGGCAGCACTTGCCTTTAATCCCAGCACTCGGGAGGCAGAGTCAGGCAGATCTCTGTGAGTTTGAGGCCAGCCTAGTCTACAGAGTGAAATCCAGGACAGGCACTGAAAACTACACAGAGAAACCCTGTCTTAAAAAAAAAAACAAAAACAAAAAAACCCATAAATAAATAAATGAATGAGTGAATGAATGAATGTACATTATCTGAATTTCATCACAATTGTTTTCTTGAGTTTTTGAGATCTGTAGTCTAGGGTGGCTATGTAGCCCAGACTGGCTTTGAACTCCTGATTCTTCTGCCTCTACCTCTCCAGCACTGGGATCAAAGGTGTACACTGCCATGCCTGCCTATAGTTCTTGTCAAGTCGTGTTTCACATCTTAGGGTTCTATGTAATGTATAGTTTGGGGACTAAAGTGAGGAGAAAAAATTCTAGCATTGAGGGGGAGAGGTTTGAAGACCATTTCTCTTGTGTTTATCAAAGGTCAAGGTTCAGAGAAATGGGAAAAGAATTCTTGCCTCTGCACTCTTAAATCACAGGGGAATTTTTCTAGGGTAGAGAAAAACCCTATTAAGCAGTTGCGGATGCCGAAGGGAATCTTCAACAGACATATAGTACAATGAAAACTGGACAGTGAGGAGTGGAAGGAACGGGGAGCTGCTCCTGAGGGAAGGGGAGAAATACGAAACTAGCCAACTCAGGTACGCAGGGCTCTGGAGGTGGGGCATGCGCAGTACCCAGTTTTCAGGTCCATGCATTCTGGTGACGTCACTTCCTGTCACTGACCACCAGCTCTATAGCTCATAATCAAAAGGTGTGAGTGTTCAAGATTTCTCCAAGAGTGTGAGTGGGTTCAAGGCCCAGCGCCTTGAAGGGTCAGCTCTGAGTTGGCTTGGTTGAGTGACTGGGACTAATGTAGGGAATGCCTACACACAGTGAGTCACCCTCTGGAGGCACTGGTGCCTTGGGACTCCTCTCTCAGCCCTGGAGACATCTGTCCTCCTCTTCCAATGCCTTCCCATGGTAATCTCTCAGTAGCTGCTTATAAGAACACCAGGCAAGTTGCCGATTAAAGCCCACCAATATGACCTCATTTTACTATAAGCCTCTCCTTCAGGGCTGTGTCTCCAAGTATGGCCATATCCCCAGCACTGAACCTTATGAGCGCAATATATGAATTCTGGAGGATACAAACAAAATTTGGAATCCATCAGAAGAAATGTGAAGACACTTGGAAAAAAACAAAGCCAAAGAATTATAAAAAGCCTTAGGAAAAGCGAAGGTACCTGCAGGGCTCAGAGTGGGCGGATTAGGAGTCTGATCTGATTAGCTTCTGGAGTCTAGAGGTCTCCTAATACACAG